TTCTCAAATCCTGAAACTTGGATGCTTGTGAAAATTCAGATTCCTGTGACTATCCAGACCTTTTGAATCAGTCTTTGTTTTATTTTATTCTTATTTAAAAATTTTTTTGCATAGAACTGGTGTGTAGGCCAGAGGTGAGGGGGTGAGAAGATTCACCAGAGACAGAGTGGGAAGCAGAACAGGCAGATTGCCTGAAATGCACTACTGAGGGGACCAGGGGATGAGGCAGGAGCAGTCTGCTGTGCCCTATGTGTGTTAGCTCACCAGCTGAGGATCAAACTCAGGCCATAGAGGTGATAGCACTAAGACTTAACACCTACCCACCAGGGAGGTCCAAATCAGAGTCTTTGAATAAGCCAGTTGTCTGTCCTTTCTTACAATATTTCTAGGTATGACTAATGCATATTAGAGTTTGGAAACCAGAACCATAGTTTGGGCTGGCAGGCTTCCTGTTGCATCTTTAGCTATTCCTAGATGTGGTGCACATGTATTATGGATCAGTTGGTTAAATAACCCATATATCCATTGCCTTTTGAATCCTGTGTTGATTTAGTTTTCTTGATTTCACTTACAACAACCCTCAAAGCCTGAACTCTGGGCTCTCCCTCCCTGTGTACTCTCTTGACAAGGTCATTGTGAGACCATCTCCCTGCCTGTCTGCTGTATGTGGCAGTTTCTTTTCTCCTTGAAACTTGAAATGGACTATTAATGAAATCTTCATAGCAGTTTCTCTTCACCTCAAATTTGTATTAGGAGAAAAATCTACTTGTGTGGTAGAGGAAAAATTGTACTGGATTGGAGGGGAGTGTTGAATCCCTTAACCTCCATGGGCCTCAGTTTCTTCATCTGTAAAAATAGGATTCAACTAGAAGATGATTTCTTTTAAATTACTGGCTCCCAAGGCCATTTCATTCAAAATATAGTTTCTGAGCTATACTTTGATCCTGGGGTGTAGACTTCCAGGGGTTTGTATTTCACTTTTGAGGATGCTTTGGGTTCCTCACATGTTCCAGATTGAAAAAGTTTTATTCTGCAACTTTCCTTACACGGAAGTCCTCCCACTCCTTTGATATTTTCCATTTACTTTTATTATCTGAGCAGATCAGGGAATTTTGTCTCGTGACATAGAAAAATCATGTTTTCTGATGTACCTTTTGATTGTTTTCTGGTAAACCCATAAAACTGAATCCTTTTATGATATTTTTCTGGGTTACAGAGACAAAGAGAGCTGATATGTTAGGGACTGTGGTTATTTTTATTGTTTCATTTACTCATTCCTTCATTCTGTAGTGATCTAAAGCTTAAAAAGTATTATGTAGAATAAATAAGGCAATGACATGGATCTTATTTGCTATGTGCATTCAAGAGAAATAGCTGACATTTATATACCCCTTGCAATGTTCAAGCCAGGTGCTGAATATTCACACACATCACCTGATTCAGTATTCACAACAACCCCCTGAAATACAGATTTTCCTATCCAAGATACTGAGAAATCAGCTAGGTAAAAACAAAGAAACTGAAAATCAGCAAGGCAATGCATTATATACTTGCTATTGGAACACAGAACCCAACAATCAGAGATTTGATGTAAGCCTTGATGATGGTAGTATTTTGACGGGCCAAGTCTCCATTCGTGGCAGAGAGAACAAAGGAACAAAGGATGCAAGCATTTTTCCATGAGTCAGGAAAAATACAGGTCGCTTTCACATATCTTATCTTACTTAAACTTCACAGTCATCTCCTAGAATATTCCGATAACAATAGTAAGTCATAGTTTTATAGATATGATAGTTAAATCTCAGAAATGGTGTATAATGTTTCCAAATTCACGAAACTGGAGAAGTCACAGTCTGAATGATATTGAACTTCTAAGCTTATGCCCTCAGTACTATTCTACCTGACTCTGTAAAAGGGAAAAGGAATTAGAGCCACTGGTTAGCTAGAGCATAAGACAGAGAAAGGATATGTGTGACAATAAAGCTTAACAAGATTATTAGAATCAGGTTATGGAGGGCCTTGAGTTGGGTATTGTGGAGGTATATTTGAATTGTAGGCTAGTTACAATGAGGTAATCAAGTAGGGTGAAGGGAAATATGTGGAAGGGCTGGGAACAAGAAGAAAGGCCATCTTATTTCATTTCACAGTATTGCCTAGACTTGATTGTATTGGTGGTAGTAAGAGATTTCTGAGAACATGAAATTTCCACCACTGGTGACTTCAGAAGGAACAGGAAGCCTGAGTCTGGAGTTTCAGTAGATGATTTCATGAGAGGAAGTCACGGATGCTTTCCTTGCTGTGTCTCAGTATCGTGGCCTCAGAGAATGTCCTCTTGGTCACCCCTACTTCATCAGGGCACTTGGAAACATTGGGGAACTTCTTTGATTTGCAGGAACCTTTTGGAGATTTTTGCATTGTCAGTCAAATAATCAAATCACGAGGGATTTTAGATCAGAGAGTTTGATGGAAATTTGGGGATGAAGCAGCTTCATGATTTTTTTCTTTATTAAAATTGATGTAAAGTTGCCTCTTAAATTTAAATTGTAAAGAGATACTTGTGATCTTTGAGTAGTCTTCAAAAATGAGAAAACTAGTGTCTAGAGAAATTATGGAACTTGCCTAAGACACACCGTATCTGCTGTTAGGTTGGTGCACACTCCTTGTGGTGCCCCACAGGCTGCTTCTGACTTTAATAAGTTGGCGATTCATACTCAGACCAACTGAGTCAGAGAGCACTGGGGGAATTTATTAACCCAGGGGGTTATGGTGGTTGGGCAGTATGTCTTTTCAGATGCTTTCTTCCAGAACACTGCTTAAATACAATTAAGGGCACTAATTCAGCTGTGCAAGCAATTTACAAATGGGAAAGGTCAAAGACTCAAGTGAACTTAAATAAAGACTTCTCTCCATGAGCTCACCCCTGACCTAATATTGCTCCTGAGGCCCAGACATTTGGCAGAGCTCAGAAAGGATTTCCCTTAATCTCTGCTGCCTATTTCAGCATGATAAGGTTTGTGATTATACTTATGAGGGAAGTAGGGGATTCCTCATCTGTGTGGGCAGTTCCCCAGTGGAATGCGCTTCACTGTGTTTGCCAGTGTGCCTGGAGCCTGGAAAGAGGGGATTCCACTCTCCAGGGTTGAAAACAATCCTTCCCGCACCTTTGATGAGGACATCTTGCCAAAAATAATCTTGTGGGAAGAGCTGTGATTCTTGGCAGGCACAATAGGTCTTGGTACCTTCGATTTACACATTTAGGAGGCTTTTTAAGCAGATGGTCCAAAATTTGAAAAATAATAAAAAAGATTATTACAAGTAAGAATATCTCCCACTCCTGACCTCAGGTTTCCAATGCTTTTCTCCAGAAGCCGCATTTATAATCACTTTCTTGTGTATGTATTCTTGCCCATGCAAGCATTATTATTTTCAGAGACAAATGGTAATATACTTTATAGATGATTCTGATTTTTGTTTTTTTCATTACGTACTCTGTTCCACATTGAACATTGTTCTTTTTTTTTTTTTAAAGATTTATTTATTTATTTATACAATCACTGGGTACAGTCAGAAGTGTGGGAGGGTGAGAGAATTCACCAGGCCCAGAGCGGGGAACAGAACAGGCAGACTGACGAAGTACACTGCTGAGGGGACCAGTGGGTGGCAGGAGAGGTCTGTGCGCCATGTGGGACCCTCGCCAGCGGCCGGGGATCTAACCGGCGCTGCAGAGGCTGTGGGCAGCTTCGCAGCCCAGAGCTCAATCGCTGCGCCACCCTGAACATTATTCTTTTAACCACCAAATTACTCCAAACATTTTATCTACCAGTCTTCCTTTCTTCATTGTTTTACTTTGTTCTTGTTACTAAAAGCTCACTTGGTTCAAGCTAGATTTTTCCAGCTATTAAAGAGAAGGGAAAGACCCAACATTTTAAAAAGCTACCCTCAAATCTACTAGAAATTAGATCAGTTTTTATTTCTCGTATGGACTGAAAATAGGACTCTCTTTCTTCTGTTACAGTGAAAGAGCAGCAGCCAGAAAGTTTCCAGAATTCATTTTCAGTGCATTCAAGGCCCTTGATTTGATGGATTGACCGATCACAGTCTTTTCCATGAGGGGCTCTCTATGGCTGTGGGTTTCTTAAAAAGATGACTATTAAGTGCTTTGTTGTCCAACATGAGAAATTGGGACTTAGGGAGCCAAAAACAGTTTATCAAAGAAGAGTTTACAGAGATGAAAAAATCTCAAATGTTAACATGAAAGAACAGAATACTCCTAACTTATCTTAAGAGATGTTATAGAACATGCCTCAATATAATAAAGGTCATATATGCCAAACCCATAACTAGCATTGTAACCAATGGCAAGAAACTGAGTGCTTTCCCTCTAAGATCAGATACTCAACAAGGATTCAGTCTCACTACCACCACTCAAATTAGTATTGAAAGCCCTTGCTAGAGCTCTCATGCAAGAGAAAGATATAAAAAGAATCCAAATTGGAAAAGAAGAGGTAAAATTTCTTCTATATACTCAGAAAACCTTAAAAACACCACTAAAAACTATTAGAAACAATACATTGGTAAAGTGGCAGGCTGTGCAATCAATCTAGAAAAATCTGCTGTTTTCCTATATGCAAATAATAAACTACAAGAAAAAGAAACCAAGAAAACAACCCCATTTATAGTAGCATAGAAAGTATAAATACCTTGGAACAAACTTAATAAAGGAGGTGAAAGACCTATTCAATGAAAATGTTAAGACACAACTAGAACAAATAGAGGAAGACAGAAGGAAATGGAAAGTTATTCCACGCTCATGGATTGGAAGAATTGACATAGTTAAAATATCCATCTTATCCAAAGCAATTATATAGATTGCTTGCAATCTATATAGATTCAATGCGATCCCTATCAAAATTTCAATGCTTTTCTATTTCACGGGAAAAGACTAGTCAATTCCACTTGCTCACTTTGTTTCTAAAAATATATCATTTTTATTCCTTCAGGTGTCACCTCAGAATCCTCCAGTTGAAAGTATACAAGCACAATTTACCAGTAAGTATGGTCAAAAAATAGATTCATGTTTTTAAAAGAATTTCTTAGTTTTTTAATTTCTTCCAGAGCACACAATCTCTCCCTTTCCTCAGGAAAGCATTAAATTCGGGATACTTAGAGTCAGTAGGGACAATGAAGTCGTATAAAGAAGAAAAGGGGAGTAATTAATTACTAAATATATGCTTATCACTGTATTAATTACTTTATATGCCTCAATAATTCTCCCAAAAGTCTTTTGAATAAGAATTATTCTCATTTTTTAGATAAGGGAACCAAAGGTTTAAAGTGTGTCTAACTGTAAGTAAGACACATCTTCTTCCACTAGTTTTATTAGAGTACAGGATTTTATACCTTCATGAGATTTGGGAAAGTCACCAGATATGAAGGCAAGGGGCTAACTTTACCTACTAGGAAAGCATTATTTAGATCCACAATTAATACTTGGGACAACTTTGATTCTATAAACATACTCATTTATTTATTAAGTAATCCTGAGCCTGAGGGGAAGTATATCTTGCCTTCCATAAATGTTTTTCATTTTCCATTTTCCATAAATGGCTTTCATTTTTCATTTTCCATTCAAGTATGCCCTCTGGGCTGGGTACAAAGCAAGGATTAGTGAACTGTGCCCAGCAGTGGGGATCTATTCTTTCTTATCACCTGGACTTTGGCCAGAGGGAGAGTCTGCAATGTAGTTACTTAGTTATTCAGGATGACATTGGGCTAATGTGGAAATGAAAGAAATTTAGGCATTTTGGCTTACCCTTAAGATGGCCCCACACAAAGCTAATGAAACCATCACTCTGCATCCTCCTCCTCCTTTCCTTCCTCCTGTGGTAGCCACTCTTCCCAAGGCATTCCAAAAAAAAAAACCCTAGCAGTAAATAGGTAGAAAGGGAGAAGTAGGGTGTGTTACTGAGCTCTTTCACCGGCATTTACTAAAAGATGCATCTTACTGAAGATGCTTACTAAAAGCAGGGACATTTTCTGCATGGTGACATTACTAAGCTTGAGTGCTGGCAGAGGTCAGCAGAGAATGCTGTGGCTAAAGCAGGTGAGGTGACAAACTGGCTCTTCTAGGTGGGATGGAGAGGTCGGGAAGAAGTAAACGTGGTTTCTTTGAGTGGAAGTGGTGTGTAGGACCAAGACAAGGGACACTCCTGCTACCTTTTGTCCAGTTTGTCCATTGGTCAAGAAGGGAAACACATGCCAACATTTCTTGCCATACATCTGTTGTGACAACTGTCAATTGTTCTAATTTCTCAGGCCTTGAATTCTAGCCCCATTTGACACTGTCTTGGACACTACATATTAGCTTTGCCTCTTCGTCCTTGCCACAGATAAAGCACATTCCAAACCTTACAGAAACACAGTGCTTGCCTCCTTTCAATTCTTAAAATCTCTATCGCTTTATCTTCATCTGTTTCTATACATTGTTGTCCAAAGCTGTGCTAAGAAATCACTATTTATTTATTTATTTATTTACTTACTTACTTATTTGTTCCTTCTCTCTCAAACTACCTAGAGTGTGAAAACAAGAAAGGCTGCATTATCACATCTACAAATGGTAAAACCATGAAGGTGCAAAATAACTCAGTCATCATCAACTGTGATGGGTTTTATCTCATCTCCCTCAAAGGTTTCTTTTCCCAGAATATCACTGTCAAGCTCCATTACCGGGAAGGTGCGGACCCCCTCTTTTCTTACGAAAATGTCAAGTCTGTCAACTCTGCCACAGTGGCCTACCTAGCATACAAGGACAAAGTCTACTTTAATGTGACCACTGACAATGCCACCTGCGAAGACATCCTAGTGAATGGTGGGGAACTGATTCTCATTCATCAAAGTCCTGGGGAATTCTGTGTCAACTGAGGACATCATGGCCACACCTAAGCCAGGCCAAAGCACAAAGGCCGAGCTGGGGGTGGGCCATATACTGAGTCTTCCTTGTGAGTGGAGGAGTCTTCTCAGCTCAGCCTTCATAAGTGGTGACACAGGATGTGACCAGACACAGATCCTTCCAAACACTCAGGGATATTTAAAACTTATTTCACATGCCAATTAACTTTATTTATCCTCCTATCTTCTAAGTGACCTAGCCCTCATCCCTCACAATTGCCTCAAGCTCATTAGGCACCTTTGTGAGAAAAAGAAAATCAGTGCCTCTTCCTCAAGACACATTGCTTCTATTAGTCAGGAAATTGTCATAATAAACCGACTTACTGAAAAAGACATGTGACAACTATTGCTAGAAATTTGACATCTGGCTTGTCAAAATGAAGTGGAGCAGGAGCAGGAGCAGGAGCAGGAGTTAGAAACCTGTCAAGATGGTGAGGACTGATCCTTGGGAACTAAAGCTGCATCTCCAAGATGAACTTCGTTGCAGTTTGCATGTTGCCGAAATACCTCTCTCATTTGGTGAACTCACAAGAAGAAAACTTGTGAACCGTTGTCAGGATTTGATGAAGAGAGCTGGCTAAGGAATTGTCTGTGTTCTGAGCATTTTTCTTTACCACTATATGCTTTCGCAGCCTCCACATGTTCTTAATAGAAGTTTCCCTTCAAAGAATCCTTTGAGGGGCTGTGATGCAATGAAAAATTGACTCAGTGTTTTAAGGGAAACTATGAGGAATTTTTGCAAGTTGGGAGAGTAAGTTAATTTATTCTGGAGGTTATCGCTATTTTGTAGGAAAACAGTTAAACTGAACCGCTCAGGGTAAAAGTCAATAGGAATTCAGTCTTGGGAGGAAAACACATTCTTTGCCATAGGTAGGCAAGCAACACCTGTGCACCCTAGTGCACCCACTCTGTCTCATACCTTGTGTACGTCTGCCCACACTGCTAGTTTCAAAACATGAAGCAATTCTATTATCAAATGCAACTTTATTTCAAAAGAAGCTATTATATCTGATGAAAAATAATGATCTGTCTAGAAAACCATAATATCACATGTGACTTCATATTAATAATTGAGACTAGAAGGTCCAATAAACATCTGAAACTTTCAAAGGAGTAAGATCCATTGTGTTTAATTTAAATGTTCCACTTAATGTACGAAGTTTAAGACATTGTGGAGAAATGTGATTCTTCCTAAGTCAAATTTCCAGGTGGTTTGTAAGTTTTCTGTGTTGAAACCCTTACAAATTAAGATTTTTGATCAAATTTCTTTCATGGTAACAAATGCTTCCCAGTAATTTAAATTAGAGTACATGACACATCGTAGAATCTTTCTGGGTGCTTCTGTCACCGAAGTAATTCTACTGCGCTCAGCACATTGTATCTTCAGGATCTCCAGAAAGTTGAAAGGCAGTTTGCTCCTACACTAAATGGTCTCAATTACACTTAGATTTTTGTGTTCTGTTTGTTTTCTAGCTCCTCTTAAGTGTCTCTCTATCTCCAACAATATCCCCCCCCCCTTCTATTTTAATATGTTATGGAGAGAAGCTAAATAAACTTGTTAAATACAAGAAAGCTAAGTAAAATAAACTGTGTGTAAGTAAGAATAATAAAGCTCTAAGTGACTGCCAACACACACACATAATCATACTTTGAGTTAAACATTCATGAAGTATCTATTGTGGAACAGGCTTTGGGAGAAGTGCTTTGCATAAATTGCTCTGAGCAAGATATTCTATCATATTTGTTTTGACGACTTAGAGGATTTAAATATGTGTGTGTATGCTTCTTTGTTATTGACTATGTTCATCAAAGTTCCAATTACTGGATGATGGGTAACTATTATATAAATGTTTATGATTATAGATAATATTTAAGAAAGTATGTTTACTTTTTCAAGTTTGGAATTTCTAATTTTATTCCTCCCGGACATGCTCTTCCAGACCTAAATGTAATTATTCTTCAGGTTTGTTTTAGTGTCACTGCCCCTCCTCATGTGTGCCACCTTCCTTGGGTATACCTGGTCCTGTTCCCAGCCAGTCCTTTCTTAGCTGTACAGGAATGTTTCTGCCATGCACCAACCTCATTCCCTCACTCTCCACCCATTAAAATATGCTTGTCTCCGTCATCCCTTCAAAGTGGTAACTAACCCTTCTCTGGACACAGCAGAGTTTTGTGGAAAGAGAAATGAATGAGAAGTCAGGAGATTGGACTGATTTTGGCTCAGTCATTAACTAGCCAAGTCCTTTGGGCAAGTCATTTCCCATTTGTGGATCCTACTTTCCTCCTTTGTTCAATGATCATTTTAGACTCTTACACTTACAGTGATAACTGTGAATGTACGTACTAAGTAGCAGTGTACTGGTTGCTCTGAGTCAAAAATGTGTAAAGTTCTCTTTTTTTATGGATATATATTGATATATTTTTCTTTGAACAACTAACATCTTCCCTCTGCCTACTTGGTGACTCCTTGAAGAGCAGCTACCACTTTACTTAGTGACTTTCTATTTTGGGAATATCTTAAGGGATTCCAATCTTGGTTCAAATCATAATTTGTTCTTAAGCCAACTGGGCAGGTCCCTAATTTTAAGCAATCATTTCATATTTAGTTATTTCCTGGCTCCCAGAGAGTCTTAATATTGATATTAATAATATAGCTAATAATAATATTCATATTTACATGGAAACAAATAAAAGACCTCAGAATTTGCTAAAAAAGCGTTGGCGTTTTTATTTATCCTTCTCTTTCTTTCATGTTCCGATCAGCTAATTCCCTCATGAGGGGAGCATGGGGCAAGCATCCTATCTGCTTCCAATTTTAGCCATTAAAACTCCTTCCAGGGAATGGATGCTGCCAAACCCCATCCTTGCCTTTAAAAAGACATTCAGTAGGGGCTTGTCTTTGGGTGCAAGAGACTGATTCAAGTAGAATTCTACTATCTACTGTTCTTTTTCCCCCTCAGGATTTTTTGCCTTATTTTTAACCCTGGGATAATCTCTTTGAATAATTGCATCTGTAATCTTAAGAAGAGGTCCGGGCCTCCCTGGTGGTGCAGAGGGTTAAGTCTCAGCACTATGAAGCCATTGGCAGCCACTGCAGCATGATTTCAACACCCGCCCCCCCCCATTAGGGAGCTGACCCACATGGCACAGATCTCTCCTGTCTAGCCCGCTGCTCCCCTCAGCATATATTTCAGTCAATTCGCCTGCCCTGTTCCCCTCTCTGTCTCTGGTGAATCCTCTCACTTCCCTGCATTTCTGGCCTATACCCCATTTCTTGTATGCATAAATAAATAAAATAAATCTTTTTTTTTTTTTTAAAAAAAGAGATCCCATAGGTGAACAGATAAAGAAGATATGGTATATGTACACAAAGGAATACTACTCAGCTATAAAAAGAGATAAAATCATGCCATTTGTGACAACGTAGATGGAATTGATTACGCTAAAGTGTAATAAGTCAGGAGAAAGAAATACTGTATGCTATCACTTACGTGCAGAATATAAAGAAGCTAAAGAAAGGAACAGACAAATCTAAAGAAAAGCAAACCCTAGAAATCTGACTGCAGAATTAAGGAAATCCAAAAGGGGTGGATGGGGGTTGGGGAGCAAATAGGGGAAGGAGTCCATTTTGGTGATGGGCATGGTATGGTGACACACATCTGAAAGGTGTGAACCTATACCCCTAAATCATATACAGTGTTGTCAATCAGTGTTAGCACAAAACAGGGAAGAGGAGAAGGAGCAGGAGGGAGAGGAGAAGGAGCAGAAGGGTCTCAACCAGCATTTTGGTTGATGAAATTGGATGACTTTGTTCTTTGTCCTATGGCCTGTCCACGGAAGGAAACAGAGGGTGGTCAGAGCTGAAACACATATTCTTAGCATTTAATGTTTCTTTGGAGATCTTTCAAGGCTGAGGGAAAGCTTTTATTTTTATATATTGTCTTTCTTACTGACTAATATAATGGAGCTTTCATTTTTCTCCTGATAGGTGATCTTGAACTCTTTTGGTTTTTGAGATTTGAAATAAAAAGAACAATAACAAAATGAAAGAGTAGTCAACAGAAGACTTGAAGTTATCATAAATGTCATTTCAGTCCAGCTCTTTTCACTTTTCATTAATAAGGAAATACATCATCTTAATTATTTTTAGGGTATGACACTTTATATCCTCCCCTTATAATCACTGTCAAGAGGTGAATTTCTACAATCCTGTGGCCATTCCATAAGGCAGCTAGAACCTTTTGTTTTTCTAAATCTCATTCACTATTACAAATTAAGCAGTAGTCAGGCAGTCAACATAAATTTGTTTTTTCCCTACTAGACACCAGGCACTGTATTAGGCATTTAGTGATACTTCTTTTCTCATAAGAAATGAAAATGAACTCTTACTTTTCAAGTCCCAGATACTTATTTCTATTTTGTCTATTATCCACTCCATGCCCAACACACATGCATTACCAATGAGCACTTAAAAGTACTATGAAATCAACAAGAAACAATGATAAAATATACCACACTATTTACATATTTTATTTTTTTATTATAAATTTTATTTTTATATCCCCATACAATTGCGACCCCCTTATTTTGACCCCAATCCCTCCCCTCCCTGCCCCCATCCCCATAGAGTGTCTCTGGTTCATAGCTGTTTGTTCATTTTGATTTTTACTTTCTTAGAGTTATTCTTTTTCCTGGTCCCTTATTTAAGTTTTCTAGATTCCTGCTATGAGTGAGACCATCCGGTATTTTTCTTTTTCTTTCTGGCTTATTTCACTGAGCATGATCCCTTCCAGCGCCATCCATGTTGCTGCAAATTGCATGTGTTTATCGTTTTTGAATGCTGAGTAATATTCCATGGTGTATATGTACCACATCTTCTTGATCCAGTCATCTATTTTTGGGCATTTGGGTTGTTTCCAAAGCTTAGCTATTGTAAACAGTGCTGCTATAAACATAGGGGTGCAGGTGCTCTTTGGAATTGATGTTTCTGTGTCCTTTGGGTAAATACCTAGGAGTGCAATTGCTGAATCATATGGAAGCTCTATGTTTAGTAGGTCAAGAAATCTCCACTCAGCTCTCCATAGTGGCTGGACCAGTTTGCACTCCCACCAACAGTGCAGGAGAGTTCCTTTTTCTCCACAACCTAGCCAACATTTGTTGTTGCTAGTTTTTTTTAATATGTGCCATTCTCACTGGTGTAAGATGGTATCTCATGGTAGTTTAAGCTACTTTAAGCTCTTTAAAATTGATAAAAATTTCTTTTAAATGAATAATAAACAATTCTTATTCAATTTACTGTCAAATTTCATTTTATTAGAAGTCAAATACACAACATATTTTTTTGAAAAGCAGACATTTGAAAGTCCAAAATAATTTCAACTATGAATTTTCATACTCTGAGTATTTAATGGATGAGATATAGAGTAGAGACAGATTGGGAGATTTATTAAAAATTCCTTATATAAATAGTGATATTTATCCATTCATCCACAGAGAATTACTGGAATACTTATTGTGTGCAATCATGTACCCACCGTGCTAGGCACTGGAAATATAAAGACAAATATGAAATAGTTTATTTCCAGTAAGTACTGACAACAATGTGTGGGTTTTTTTTTTTTTTTAATATAGATTTTAAATTCTTTGGAGCATGTTCTTACTTTTTACAAGGGTGAGTTGGAAAAATTCGTTATCACTTGTATTTCCCCATTCAATTTTGGATGGAAAAAATCAGACATACAGAAAATATGAGGCCACTTTTTTCTTCATCTTAAGTGGCAATATAAGGTACAGAATTAACTGGAGTAGGGAGAAGCTACAAATCAGAATATAGATGAGAAAGTGAATGTTGATGACTGGAAAAAGAGGAATGAACCTGAAAAATGTTAGAAACAAAAAACTAATAGGAACTATAATTGCTAGGATGTTAGTAACAGATAAAGGAAAGAATGCATTTGTTAATTCATTAAAAAAATGTTATTTTGAGAGGCACACAGAAATAAACAACAAGCAAGTATATAATTTGAAAGAAAAAACCAGAATGCTATGTGAAAAAAATATGGGGTAATCAATTTTAAATTGGAAAGAGCTCTTTGAGGAGCTAACATTTAAATTAAGCTCTGAAGATAGGAAGAAACCAATTCTGTTTGAAACAAGAAATGTCAGGGACCAATGAGGTGGAGTGGATAGTGGAAAAAGGAAGCTACAAATATCATCTATGATCATGTGACAAATTCTGGAAATGAGGATTACAATAGCATGAGTGGTTCTTCCCTGTTTTGATATGACTATATTTACATACATATTTATCAATAATTTCCCTCCACCATTTTGCTATTGTCTTTATTTGGAATTTAAGTGTGATTAAGGAGGCATGGTTGCCAAGTTGACAAGGAGGGCACTTCAGTGGGTTTATATGAGTACAAGTTAGCTAAACTAGTGGTATCATTCCTAGAACTCCTTCACCTTTATAGGTACAAGGAGAAGTTGCATGAGAAGGTGGAAATGAAAGAGCAATCATTTTTATATTCAAAGGGTTGCAGTGAAGTGCCAGGTACTATGCTCACTTATTCCTGTCATTGCTGATATGGGGTCTCACCATGTGGCTTTGGGGCAAACCCAAAACCCACAGTTCATCTAGTGGCTTCCAGATTTCCTTCTTCTCTCTTCTCAAAGCCTGGGCCAAGAATGTGTGCAACTCTTTGTCAAAGGGATCTAATTTCTCCAGGAAACATCAGTGTCCTAAACCTGTTGGTGTCCAGAGACAGATGCGAGTTCTGGTTGTTTTTTATGGGTTCTGGTGTTCAAGAGAAGGTGATAATATTGAGACTAGTCAAAGGAGATCCAGTATTTATGTAATGGGAGTCTTTAAAGAAGAAACAATACAGAAAACACAAAAAATGCCACAAGCCACAATTTAAAAAAATTCTATATTTCAGCATTATTTACAATAGCCAAGACATGAGAGCAACCTGTTTCCATTGATGGATGAATGGATATATAACTTTATTCACCCATGAAAAAAGAGAAAACTTGCCATTTGTATCAACATGAATGTCCTTGAGGGCATTATGTTAAGTGAAATAAGTCAGACAAATATAGATATTGTGTAATCTCACTTGTAGGTGCAATCTAAGACAAAATAAAACAAAACCTCAGACTCATAGAGAACAGAATGGTGGTTGCCATAAGCAGAGGATAAAAGGTAGGCCAAAGGGGGAAGGTAGTCAAGAGGTACGAACTTCTGGTTATAAGGTAAATAAGTTATGGGGGTATAGTGTGCAGCATTATAACCACAGATAATAATACTGTGTTGTATATTTGAAAGTTGAGATAATTTTTGATGAATAGATTTTAAATGTTCTGATCATACCAAAAAAATTTTGTTAAGTAGTGAATGTTAACTTGATTTTATGAGCACTTCACAATATCAAATCATGTTGTACACCTGAAATTAGTATCACTTTATATGTCAACTACATCTAAATTAAAAAAACTTAAGATTTAGAACACATTCAAAAAGCATAGTGCATGCCTAGAAATACTGACACTGAATGACCAATAGCAAGATGTACTGTAGTAAAATTACTCAAGAGAAAAGGACTAAACTCAAAAGGCAAAACTAAGATAACATCTGCAGGGCTCCGTATAGAGACATGGGTATCTTGGCAAAACTATTATCATCAGACTC